AGTTAGATATTAATACCGTTGGATACCGGGAGGCTCAGTGGTTCTAGATTTTAAGCGTTCGCACACGACACTGATAGATCCTGAGTCTAAATCTCACGAGGTGGTTCCGTGGATGCGGACTACTGAGGAGTCTTACAATAGGACGAAACAGTCATCCAGCACTTCCAATATTTCATAGTAGTCTAGCTTCGATTGACTAATGAATTCAAATATAACATTCCAGTTTTTTAAAACTATCCACAAACTTGATAAGAAAAGATGGATAGTGGCTAGCAGTGGATTCCAGTACGCGCGCTTCGTCCTATTTGGGACTCGTCAGCTGGGTATACCTGCATCTCAGATTTGATGTTCACTCTGGGACTCGAACCCAGTACCCTCGCTTGAAACGCCATCGCGTTATCCACTCGGCCACTGATTCCTGATAGCCACTTGCTTGTGCGATGGGATGAAGTTTAAATTCATTTAGTATTGTTTGTTTGAATCTTCCCATCGGTGTGTTAGGACTGCAACTGGTCAGTTCTGGATTCCACTGCTAGCCATTATCCATCTTTGCTTATCATGCTTGTGAATTAAGGCTATATTGAGGCAATACTCACAGTATGCACATATGCCAATTAGAGACTGACCAGTTGCAGTCCTAACACACCGATGGGAAGATTCAAACAAACAATACTAAGTGAATTTATCCACAAACTGTCAGTAACAACTTTACATAGATACAAAATGAAACCGAATTTTGTTCAATATTAGCCAATATTATCAAACTTTAAACTAAAAATAACCTTCTGTCACATCTACATTTTTCATATTTAATCATAATATCAATAGTTGAAATTATGAGTCAATTGAAGATAGATAACCATGGAAAACCTGAAAGCACTGAATGGCCGATTCGCCCTTTTATGGGACTCCACAGCAGTGCGCATGCGCTATCTTCAAAAAAACCCCTTCTGATAATGATCATATCCTCACTATTGACTGGCTCCATGAGGTATTTCCAGGAGTCTTAGTAAGAAGCAGCAACCAGTGAAGTTCAACCAGGTCTGTTGGGAGATAGTAACTCATTGAAGACATTGGTAAATGGTTGCTCAATTTCGTGGATTGGTTGAAGTTAGACATTAACACCGTTGGGTGCTGGCCGGCTCAGTGGTCCCAGAGGTTAAGCGTTCGTTAGCGAAACTGGTAAATCTTCGATTCAAAACGGCCGTTCAGCTCTTCCAGTTATTCCATACTAGTCTAACTTCAATTAACTCATGAATTCATATATAAAATTCTAAATTTTTAAAACTATCCACACATTAAATTCATTTAGTATTGTTTGTTTGAATCTTCCCATTGATGTGTTAGGATTGCAACTGGTCAGTCTCTTGTTGGCCATATGTGCATACTGTGCGTATTGCTTCGATATAGCCTTAATTCACAAGCATGGTAAGCAGAGATGGATAGTGGCTAGCAGTGGAATCGAGTCTCAGAGTGAACATCAACTCTGAGATACAGATACATCCAGCTGATGAGTCCCAAATAGGACAAAACTGGATACCACTGCTAGCTACTATCGATCTCTGCTTATCTACACATTGTTATTAACAACTTTACATAGAAACAAAATGAAACCGAATTTTGTTCAATATTAGCCAATATTAGCCAAACTTTAAACGAAAAATAACCTTCTGTCACATATACATTTTCCGTATTTAATCATAACCCTTTCTTTTGTAGAAAAAAATAGAACAACCCAAAAAAGGAGTCATTTCGATATTGTGTGTGTGTGTGTTTGTGTATGTGCGTTTATAATTAAAGTCGACAATTTAAATGTTTCGCCCCTCTGATTTTTTTTTATTTTCTACAATATTAAAACATTCACATATGACCTTGAATATATTTCTCAAGGTTACATTTAATTGGCCAATTATATCGCAAGAATTCTGATTGGTTATTTTTTTAAAAATGTGCTATAATGCATAATTAATTACTTTACATACACCATAGATACTATAGACAAATCTAATCTTAGTTATTCATTTGACATGGATATATACAAAGTATATATATAGATAAGTATGCAGGATTGTTGCTGGGGGTAATTTTTTTTTTGGTTGGGAAAAAGTGTAATACAAAAAATTTGTCTGACAAACCTTTAAAAAAAAACACAAAAAAGAGAAAAAAAACTTTGAACACAAGTATACATGTACCTAGAGATGAAATCAAGTCAATAGTACCAATATATATTGTGCACACATATATATATCTACACGCACAGAAAACTATTGATACATAGTTACTAGTGGTAACTAGTAGAAGAAGAAGAAGAAGAAGAAGAAGATAACGGATAATCTCCCTAGAAAACACCAAAAGAAGCACACAACAACAACAAACAATAAAAAAAATTGACCAAACATATTTAACCAATTTTATTTTTTTTATTTTTTACAAAATCAATAAGTCTAAGAATGGATAGAAATATTCATTTATCTATTAGTGATCATGAATTAATATTAGATAAATATGATCTACATAAAAAAGATCAAACATTATTATTAAAACATACAAATTCATTACCAATTGAAGAACATTACAATCTTGATCCTGATCCTGATCATTCTTATTCTTATCATCAGTATTCAAATAGTTACTATGCACCAATACAACATAATAGATCAAAATCTTATCAACCTCGTATGGTTACAAGATCATCTATCAATTATCGTAATCAATTAAAACATTGTTTATTTAATAAATTCTATACAAATATTGAACAAAAAAATTTGATAAAAATTAATAATAAACCATTATATACTACTACTAATACTACTACTACTACTACTACTACTACTACTCATATTCCTACATTACATAATACATATAATACTACTTATAATATTACTACTGATAATAATCATAATAGTAATATGGATTCTCAATTATTATCATCCTCACTTAGTCCAGAATTTATGGGTAATTCATCCAAGGAATCAAATACTACTATAGATGATTTATTATTAAATAAAAAAACATCAAATTATACTACTAATAATAATACTACTAATAAAAAGTATATTAAAAATGAATCTAAATTATATTCAACTATTATAACTCCTATACCATTAATATCATATCAACATAATATTATACCAAATAATATAGATATATATCCAAATAAATTAGATAATAGTAGTATATCAATAAATGATAAAAGATTATCAAACATTAACAATAATGATAATGAGAATATTCTTATTGAAAGGAATAGAAAATCAAAGGTAAATATAGGCAAACCATTAAATATATCGAAGGTAAGTGTAATTGGGTATTTGTAGTTTGTGTTTTATCAAATAGGGGTGGGGGGTCTTTGCGCGCGAGCGCTTAATCGATAGATCACAAAACTCCTTTCTGATAATGATCATATGCACACTAGTGACTGATTTCAAGATATATTTCCTGGAGTTCTAGTGAGAAGCAGTGATTAGTGGAGTTCAACCAAGTCTGTTGGGAGATATTAACTCACTGAAGAAATTGCTGAATGGTAGCTCAATTTCATGAATTGGTTGAAGTTAGACATTATCACTGTTGGATGCTGGCCGTCTCAGTGGTCTGGTGGTTAATCGCTTACGCGCGAAACTCATTGATTCTATGTTCGAATCACTGGAGGCCGGATCGTGAATGCGTACTGCTGGGGAGTCCCATAATAACTCCTATACCATTAATATCATATCAACATAATATTATACCTAATAATATAGATATATATCCAAATAAATTAGATAATAGTAGTATATCAATAAATGATAAAAGATTATCAAACATTAACAATAATGATAATGAGAATATTCTTATTGAAAGGAATAGAAAATCAAAGGTAAATATAGGCAAACCATTGAATATATCGAAGGTAAGTGTAATTGGGTATTTGTAGTTTGTGTTTTATCAAATAGGGGTGGGGGGTCTTTGCGCGCGAGCGCTTAATCGATAGATCACAAAACTCCTTTCTGATAATGATCATATGCACACTAGTGACTGATTTCAAGATATATTTCCTGGAGTTCTAGTGAGAAGCAGTGATTAGTGGAGTTCAACCAAGTCTGTTGGGAGATATTAACTCACTGAAGAAATTGCTGAATGGTAGCTCAATTTCATGAATTGGTTGAAGTTAGACATTATCACTGTTGGATGCTGGCCGTCTCAGTGGTCTGGTGGTTAATCGCTTACGCGCGAAACTCATTGATTCTATGTTCGAATCACTGGAGGCCGGATCGTGAATGCGTACTGCTGGGGAGTCCCATAATAACTCCTATACCATTAATATCATATCAACATAATATTATACCTAATAATATAGATATATATCCAAATAAATTAGATAATAGTAGTATATCAATAAATGATAAAAGATTATCAAACATTAATAATAATGATAATGAGAATATTCTTATTGAAAGGAATAGAAAATCAAAGGTAAATATAGGCAAACCATTGAATATATCGAAGGTAAGTGTAATTGGGTATTTGTAGTTTGTGTTTTATCAAATAGGGGTGGGGGGTCTTTGCGCGCGAGCGCTTAATCGATAGATCACAAAACTCCTTTCTGATAATGATCATATGCACACTAGTGACTGATTTCAAGATATATTTCCTGGAGTTCTAGTGAGAAGCAGTGATTAGTGGAGTTCAACCAAGTCTGTTGGGAGATATTAACTCACTGAAGAAATTGCTGAATGGTAGCTCAATTTCATGAATTGGTTGAAGTTAGACATTATCACTGTTGGATGCTGGCCGTCTCAGTGGTCTGGTGGTTAATCGCTTACGCGCGAAACTCATTGATTCTATGTTCGAATCACTGGAGGCCGGATCGTGAATGCGTACTGCTGGGGAGTCCCATAATAACTCCTATACCATTAATATCATATCAACATAATATTATACCTAATAATATAGATATATATCCAAATAAATTAGATAATAGTAGTATATCAATAAATGATAAAAGATTATCAAACATTAATAATAATGATAATGAGAATATTCTTATTGAAAGGAATAGAAAATCAAAGGTAAATATAGGCAAACCATTGAATATATCGAAGGTAAGTGTAATTGGGTATTTGTAGTTTGTGTTTTATCAAATAGGGGTGGGGGGTCTTTGCGCGCGAGCGCTTAATCGATAGATCACAAAACTCCTTTCTGATAATGATCATATGCACACTAGTGACTGATTTCAAGATATATTTCCTGGAGTTCTAGTGAGAAGCAGTGATTAGTGGAGTTCAACCAAGTCTGTTGGGAGATATTAACTCACTGAAGAAATTGCTGAATGGTAGCTCAATTTCATGAATTGGTTGAAGTTAGACATTATCACTGTTGGATGCTGGCCGTCTCAGTGGTCTGGTGGTTAATCGCTTACGCGCGAAACTCATTGATTCTATGTTCGAATCACTGGAGGCCGGATCGTGAATGCGTACTGCTGGGGAGTCCCATAATAACTCCTATACCATTAATATCATATCAACATAATATTATACCTAATAATATAGATATATATCCAAATAAATTAGATAATAGTAGTATATCAATAAATGATAAAAGATTATCAAACATTAATAATAATGATAATGAGAATATTCTTATTGAAAGGAATAGAAAATCAAAGGTAAATATAGGCAAACCATTGAATATATCGAAGGTAAGTGTAATTGGGTATTTGTAGTTTGATTTTTGTTTATCGAATAGGGGTGGGATCTTTGTGAAGATTTTTAAGTCATTTCAATATTTACATAGTTGAGATCATGAGACAATTGAAGTTAGATCACCATGGAAAACCTGGAGGCACTAGACGTCCATTTTATCCTTGTATGGGACTCTTCCTTGGCAGTGTGCATCCACCATCTCGTCTCGCTAGATTCGAACTGAAGACCTAAAAATCTCACTCCAGAACACTTAACCGATAGACCACTGAGCCGGCTGGATTCCAACGGTGTTAATGTCTAACTTTAATCAATCCACGAAACTGAGCAACCATTTCATGAATGTCTTCAGTGAGTTGATATTTCTCAACAGACCTGGTTGAACTCCACTGATCACAGCTTCTCACTAGAACTCCTGGATTTACCTCTCGAAGCCAGTCACTAGTGAGTATATAATCATTATCAGAAGGGAGTTTTGTGGTCTAACAATTTACTGCTCGCACGCGAAACTGATAGGTCTTGCGTTCGAATCTCGAGATGTGGGATCGTGAATGTGCACTGCTGAGGAGTCCCACAATAAGAAAAAACGACCGTCCAACGCTTCCAGGTTTTCCATGGTGGTCTAGTTACAATGGACTCATGATCTCAACTATATAGAAATTATTAAAACCTCCACAAAACTCCCTTCTGATAATTTCAATATTGTTGAATTTATGAGTTATTTGAAGCTAAGAGAGTGAAGAAGATTTGTTGCTCAGGTGGATGATTTTGATGAAGTTTTGTTCTCTCAGTTAAATCGTTTAGTCATGGAGCTTTCATTATCTTTGTTTTCGAATTTCTCCAGCTCAAAGAACAAAATTTCGTCAAAATAATTTGAAGTTAGATTATTACGGAAAACTTGGAAGTAGTAAATGACCGTTTCGTCTTATTGTAGGACTCCTCAGAAGTATACATCCACAATCATGCTTCACGAGATTCGAACCAAGTACCTATCAGTCTCGCGTGCGAGCGCTTAATCCTTTAACCACTCAGCTGGCATCCCCTTTTATATTGATTTTCGATAAGTTTCATAAATAAAGATTACAAACTATAGTAGAATATAAAATTTTAAAAAAATAATTTGATTTATTCTATTCTGAAATGTTTCCTAGTTAAATATTATTGATTATCGATTGTTCTCTAAATAATTCATTAATATTAATTTCAATAGTTGAGATCGTGAATCAATTGACGCAAGACTATCATAGAAAACCTGGAAGCATTGGACAACCGTTTCGTCTTATTATGGGACTCCTCAGTGACAGTGCGCATCTAGATTTAATTGACTTATGATCTCAACTATTGAAATTAGTATAATTACAACAGAAACACTTTTTTAATATTAAATAATTAACACTGTTTCATTTCAATTATTATTTTTCCCTTTAACTTGTTGAAGGTTAAGTGGGAAATTATGTTTGTTACGACGTATATTAGCTGTGTCATAAGAGATTAACTAATAATGAAAAGAAGTTTTTCAATATGATATTTTTAGATGCACTTCCTGGAGTTTTAGTGGGATGTTATGATTATAGGATTTTAATCGCTGTGAGTATGAAGAAGGTATTCACCGGTGAAAATAAAACATAGTCTCAAGTTATCGTAAATCGATTGAAGTTGGACTCTTTAACCATTGGCTACCGACACAGGAGACTGAGGTTTGAGTATCTACACGTAAGACCGAAGGCTTTGAGTTCGATATCCAGTCATGGAGTGGAACATAGATAATACTGAGAAGTCTTATATTGATTATTCAATTCTTAAAATAGTTAGATCTCATCTTATCGAATGCTTATTAAAGTTTTATTAAAATCCTTAAGTCACCCATTTATAAGATGTTAGAAATATTTCAACTGACTTATAATTTGTTATATCGATTGCCTGAGTGCGTGCGTGCTCTGTTTAATATATATGAACGTGCTGATTCCCGCCAATGAGAGAGGAATGAATTTCTCGATCAGAGCAATGATAAACAAAAGCCGTATGAGTAGTCTTGAGTACTTGTCGGTCCTGCTTCCTGCCTAGCTCAGTCAGTTAAGTCGAGAACACCAATAACAGCCTCTGTAATATGAAACATTATTCTCAAACATACTGGGTTTATATAGCAAACAAACTGACCACATCGTACCGATAAAATAGAAAATAACATTTTTACAAGATTTTGCTAAATGTGGCTGTGAATATGGGGGAACAGTAATTAATAGACTGAGGATAACTCAGGAATGATAAATGGTACAATAACAGTCTATGGGTCAAAATAAAGCTTAGAAAAAAGAGAGACACGAATATGAATAGTTTAGTTACTTATCGATTATGCAATCGGAAATGTACCTATCACATTGGTCCATATATAGTTCTCAAAGTTACCATTCATAACACTCATTGGGATATAACAAAATTGAAATATGCGCTTTCTTACATTAGACTTAGTTACTTACTTACTTACGCCTGTTACTTTCAATGGAGCATAGGCCGCCGACCAGCTTTCTCCAACCCACTCTATCCTGGGCCTTCTTTTCTAGTTCTATCCAACTTTTGTTCATTCTTCTCATGTCTGTCTCTATTTCTCGGAGTAATGTGTTCTTTGGTCTTCCTCTTCTCCTTTGACCTTCAGGATTCTATGTGAGGGATTGCCTTGTGAAGCAGTCGGGTGATTTCCTCAAAGTGTGCCCACTCCACTTCCAGCGCTTCTTCCTGATTACTTCCTCAACTGGATGGAATTTGGTTTGTTCTCTCTCACAGTATAATGTTGCTGATAGTGTCTGGCCATCGGATCCGAAGTATCTTGCGTAGAGAACTGTTAATAAACTCTTGTATCTTCTGGATGATGGCTTTCATAGTTCTCTACGTCTCCGCCTCATACAGTAGAACTGTCTTGACATTTATATTGAAAATTCTAACCTTAGTGTTGGTTGACAATTGTTTTTCTTACATTAGAAGACTCAAATAAATCTTATTCTGTAAACAACAATTGAATGAATTAGATTATATAATGACTGTATGCCAGTTTTACATAAGAATCTATCAACAGAGAGAAATTGAAGTCAATGAGGACATATAAATGATTGTCTATATTTACTATTGAGTTATATTCTGATCTGCTTTTTCATTATCACTTTCATTGATTTATGTGTCAGAGACATAGTATCCTTTAGTTTCTTAATATCTTTAGAGTTCCTTTAAATAATGAAATAGAATACCGAACTGCTTACAATAGAAGTCCCACAATAGGATGAAACGACTGTCAAGCAGTGATTCCATGTTTTTCATGGTGGTCTAGATTCAATTAACTCATGATTTCAACTATAACTAGTTACAATGTGGGAAGGTGTTACTTGTTAGTGACTTCAATCTTGTATTGTATAATTCATGGTTCATTTTTCCAAGAACTAGTTTCCTTTAGTTATAACAACTGGTTTTATCTTACTTAAAACTCATTACCTGCTTTCACCTGAATCTTAGTGTTGATATTTTTATTAGGACTTGGTTACAGTGTTTACCTACTTACTTACTTATGCTTGTTACCCCTCGTGGAGGAGCATAGACCACACAGCAGTATTCTCCGCCTGTAGCCCCTTCGTAGGCTACTGCCGGTCCCAAGACCGGATAAAGGATGGGGTTTGGTATGGGGTTAGCGACCCCATCACGTAGAAAACTAACTCGCTAAAAAAACGCTAATAAGAAAAAAATAATTCCAGTGTTTAGTTTATGCAAATAGTAATCAATACTCAAAGTGTTATATAAACCATGCCTTCTGAATATCTGCACTTAGTAGATAACAGATTTAACGTTTGTAATAGGCCTTGTAGTCTCAACGTGAAATTCAATACTGAGTTGCAGGTATATTCAGGTAACGAAACCTAAATAGAACCAAACGCGATTCCTGGACTTTAATGACACCCGGATATTATCTATTCAAGATCAATTGTAACACAATCACTAAAAGTAAAACAGTACACACATGATCAACTTGTGACAACAAAGCCCAAATGATATTCAAGACTGAATATCAACAACAGAATCAACCTGCAGAATATTAATAACAATGCTGTGTAGCTATACTAGTTCAGAAATTAAATAGCACATGCAAACATATAATTGTATGAACAATTAAATTTTTATCAACATTTAAAGCATCATTTATAACTCACTTACTTACTAACGCCTGTTACACTTCATGGAGGAACAAAAGTTATTCACCAGGGTTCTCCATCCAAACTATTTATTTTATCCATTTGAACACATAAATCTTGGTACAAACGGGGCATCAGATATATATGCGCCACACAAATCTCATTAGATTTGTGTCAGGGCTGTGATAATGCCCAGGTGCCCAGACTGAAACAGATAGTTTTTTTAGGATATCACACCCAGAGCCTTTGACCTGAAGGTCTGATCCACAAGGCAGTTGAGCATCGTGAGAAGATGCACTTCCATAGTAGGCGGTAAACAACGATTGATTCATACTCTATTTGTTGCTACAAGATACTGGAGCCTATGTACACCACTGGTTTGGAATTGTGGTTTTCCAACTCCCTTAGGTAAACTTTCCGTGTCCAACAACTCGTTTAAAGCGTCGGACATTCGCTTTTCGTCCTCTCGATTTCGTAAACAACAACCTCGTCACGAGGAGGCAGTCAGTAGGACTTCCGTGGCAGAGGCTATAAAAGCGTAGCCATGTAAGAGCATTTCAAGAGGAAGAGCGTATTCTTCCCACTCTCGGCCGTACCAGGGCAGTTGTTAATATGTCAATTATTTACATTTTTAAATGGAAAACAATCACATGATTTAATAGATTTTGATTGTTTACAGTTTTGGTCACAAGCTGTTATCACAATAGGAAGTATTGGTAATAAAAAATAAGAAATAACTTTGTTTTAATTATCGATTTAACATTTAATGGAAAACTTGAATTTCTGTACAATACCAGTACAGAATGGTATATATATTCAGATCCTAC